TTAAAAGCCGGTGTAGGGTCCGGCGCCGTGGCGCAAGTGGTTGAGGTCCTCGCCTTGCACGCCCGGGATCCCATACGGGCGCTGGTTCTAATCCTAGCAGCCCCGCTTCCCTTCCAGCTCCCTGTCTGTGGCCCAGGAAAGCAGTCGAGGACGGCCCGAGGCTTTGGGACCCTGCACCCGCGTGGGAGACCTGGAAGAGGCTCCTGGCTTCAGATCGGCATAGCATCGGCAGTTGTGCTCACTTAGGGAGTGAATCATCGGACAGAAGATCTTCCTCTCTGTCTCTCCTCTCTGTATATCCGCCTTTCCAATAAAAAAATAATTAAAATAAATCTTTAAAAAAAAAGCCGGTGTATTCATTAACTTGTACAGTACCTCACTCTAGCTGCTGTTCCCCCGCCTCCCTGCTTTGTTTTTTGTTTTTTTTTTTTTTTAAGATTTATTTGTTTTTATTGGAAAGACAGATATACAGAGAGGAGAAGAGACAGAGAGGAAGGTCTTCCATCTGATGATTCACTCCCCAAGGGGCTGCAACAGCTGGAGCTGGGCCAATCCGAAGCCAGGATGCAGGAGCTTCTTCCAGGTCTCCCACGTGGGTGCAGGATCCCAAAGCCTTGGGCCGTCCTCGACTGCTTTCCTAGGCCAGCGCCCATATGGGATCCCAGTGCGTTCAAGGCAAGCACTTTAACCACTATGCTATTGCACCTTGACCCCCCCCCCTTTTTTTTAAGATTTGTTTTTATTGTAAAGTCAGATTTGTAGAGAGAAGGAAACAGAGAGAAAGTCCTTCCCTCCTCTGGCTCACTTCCCAATTGTCTTCAATCAGAAGCCAGGAGCCACGAGCTTCTTCAGGGCCCCAGACTGTAGAGCAGCCGGGATGTGGACCAGCACCACACGGGATCCCGGTACCTATAAGATGCAGGATTAGTAATTGAGCCCTTATGCCAGGCCCTCACTATTTTTTTTCTTCAGACTTACTGCCATCACCTGAATCTAGGCCTTTCATGAACTGAAATAACTGCTTTGACTTTCTCTCATCCAGTGTTAAGTGGATTTCCACAAAAGGTCTCCATAAAACCAGGAAACAAATTTTGTTCAGACTGCTGTGGGGGACCAGAGTTCCAGCTAATCAGAGAGCAGGCGGCTTTTTGTTCCCCAGCATTCACCATCTTCCACGACAATTAAAAAAAACAAAAAAGAAAAAAAGTTTTATTGTCTTTCAAAATTTAAAAAGCTAATTATAAAAGAAAGGTAAATAATTAAACTTCTAAATGTCCCAAGATTTCTGAGACCTGCTCTAAGTCATAAACTTTAAGTGAGAATTCCACTTTGTTTTACTTTTGAGCTTTTCAGATTCCTCCAGAGCTCAGCTGCTTTTCTGTCTTCTGTGCTCTGCTGTGTGACCTACAGGCCTGTCCACACTGCATCCCAGCAGGTGGCTATGCATTGGCTGGGATGTGAGCCACTGCTGCTGCTGCTGCTGATGATGATGATGCTCTGCTCTGCAGTTGCCTGGCAACAGATGTTTGCACCGCCTGGCCTCCAATCTTGCATCAGCTAGAATCTGGAATCTGATCCAATGGTTCGTTATACAAAGGAGAATCACTTTCCTCTAAAACCAAGCTAGGAAAAAAAAAGACCAGATGATTTAAAAAAAAGATTATTTAATTTTTATTGGAAAAGTGGATATACAGAGAGGAAGAGAGACAGAGAAGAAGATCTTCTGTCTGATGATTCACTCCCCAAGTGAGCTCAATGGCTGGAGCTGAGCCAATCCGAAGTCAGGAGCCAGGAGCTCTTCCACATCTCCCACGCAGGTGCAGGGTCCCAAGGCTTTGAGCTGTCCTTGACTGCTTTCTCAGGCCACAAGCAGGAAGCTAGATGGGAACCAGGATTAGAACCAGAGACCATATGAGATCCCGGAGTGTGCAAGACAAGGACTTTAACCACTACAGTATCATGCTGGGCCCAGATGATTGTTTTTTAAATACGAATGCTTTTTAAATATCGGGAGCTTCTGCCTGGCTGGCCCGCATACAGCTATTGCAGTGCATCTTGGTTCAAGTCTTTGTTCCACTTCTGGCCCGGCTTCCTGCTAATGCACACCTCGGGAAGCCACAGGTGTTGGCTCTGCCACCCTTGTGGGAGACCTGGATGGAACTCAGATACTTGTTTCAGGCTGGTCTATCCCTAGGTGTTTTAGGCATTTGGGGCATGAACTAGTACATGAAAGATCTCTCTCTCGATCTCTCTCTCCTCTCCCAATTCTTCTACCTCTCTCCCTCCCTCTCAAATAAGAAATAAACTTTAAAGATTACCTCTGCTTTTTCCATAAGAAACGTTTCATTGCTCTACAAGGGGATCTCAAGAAGCTCATAGGAAATTCAAATTGTCTTTCAGAAAGTTTTTGAAGCCCCCTTACATAAGGAAAGCACTTTTTAAAAAGATTGACTGGTTGATTTGAAAGGCAGAATAACAGCAGGTGAAGGAGACAGAAAGAGATCGCCTGTCTTACGGTTCACTCTCTAAGCAACTGCAATAATTAGGATTGAGCCTAGCTTCTGATTTGAGGTGCCTGGAATTCCATCCAAATCTCCCACATGGGCGCAGGGGCACCAGCAGGAAATTGGATTGGAAGCAAAGCAACCAGGACTAGAACCCGCACTTGCTATGAGATGCTAGTGTTGCCAGCCCTAGCTCAGCCTGCCATGCCCAAATGCTGTTCCTTGAGAACGTTTTTACTCTTTAGGGTCAAGCAAAATGTTGGGGCACACTCCAGCGCTAGTGTTGTGCAGTAATTCCGACTAGACTGCATGAGTTTGGGTACGCATACCCCTCATCCTCAACCTGTTAAAATGATGGTGACAAGAGTGCCTGTCTCTTGGGGTTATTTCAGTGTCCATGCCTGGGTCAGCCTGATCCTGGGATGCAGGGACTCGATCCAGGTTTTACCTACAATCAGACACAGCCAGTTTCCAGGCACTCCCCACAGGTTCTCAACAAGGCTGACACCAAGGCACCAGACTGGAGGCCTGATGTGACCTTGGTCAGAGATGTGGGTGTACTAGGGTGCAGAGGACACACACAGATAGAAGCGGCTCACTGGCGAGCTGAGCTTCTCCAGGCCAGAAGTGAGGGTTGTGGAACTGGACAGAGCCACTGGACAGAGCCGCGTGAGTTTACATGGATGAGAGAAACAAAGCCCTAGGGCGTGGGGGGGAGGGAGGGGAGAAGGATTGAAAAAGGTAGCGAGGCTCAGGGATGGAGAGGTGTTGGGGGGAAATGATTGCCCCGTGATGGGGCCGTGTCTGCTTGGGGCAGTGCGCTTGGGGCTGAGGGTGGAGCTAGAAGGCCAAATTGGAGACTTGTGGATCCCGGAAGACACAGCTGAACCAACGCATCTAAAGAAATCTCGGTGGGGCCACGGCCAGGGCCCACCAAGCCTGGCGACCACGACCTGGCAGCAGCAGAGAGCCTATTAAGAGAAGGTCTCCACCGCGGCCCGGACTCACAGGAGCCTGTGGCCCTTGCCACATGCAAAGGGTGCGCGCCCTGGTCCTGCTGGCAAAGGGAAGGTGTTCCGGGGGTTCCAAGTCACAGAGAAGGACATCAAGTGCCGGACTCCCGCCCACATCCGTTTCTCTGCCCCAAGGCCAAGTTCGAGGCCACAGTGTCTTCTAGAAAAGAAGAGGAGGCGCCGAGAAGAACTGCAGAGGAGGAACGGGGGGGGCGGAGGGAAGGACCGGTGGCGTGGGCGCGAGGCAGCGTCTAAACCGCCTAGGGAACAAAGGCGGTGTGACTGGGGGAGCCTCGGGGCACCTCCTCCCTGATAGAATATGCATGATCGGGGCGAAGGCGGCGAGAGCGCGCCCACAGCACTCTCGCGGGCGCCGGGTGCCAGGGAGCCGGGAGGCCGCGGCTGCAGGAGCCAGCGGTGGGCTCGGGACCCCACGCGCGGTGCTTGTAAGCGGTCCCCCTCCCAAAGCCGGGCTCTCCGTGGAGCATCAGCCCCTGACCTTGCCACGGCCCGTACGGCTCTAGGAGGGGCCAGTGTGTCTCTTTGAGGGACCCGAAGAACACCTGCGCGGCGCACCCCGCCGCTGCCTCCCTCTCCCCTTCTGCCGCTCAAGACTGGACACTGAAGGAGGCGCGCGTCCGACGGCAAAGGCCGAGCGGGGACTCCAGCCGCCGGGACAGGTGCCCTGGTGGGACCTGGTGGCGAGCTCCGTCCTTCCCGCGCTGTGCTGGGCCAACAGCCCGGCGGAGACCCTGCACCCAACAGTGCGCGCTGCCCCTTCGGGGTGCCCGGCTAGGTAGGACTGAGCGAGTCTTGGTCGCTCTCGGTCTCCAGCGGAGCGCAGAGCCCGCACTCTCACCATCTTGGTTTGTTGTGCGGTGTTTACCGAGCAGTTTTTTTTTTAAAGAATTCTCTTTTTTAAAAAAGCCATTTTTCCTCCCCAGTGCGTGTTCGTTGCATCTTTTTCAGTTGGGACTTTGCAGTGGACAGGGGGCGGGAGAATAAACATCTGTTGCGATCCGGACACAAGGAGAGACCCGGCCGCTTCTTTCAGCAGTGAGAAAGAGCGGAGTGGTGGCCAGATCCGCAAACACCTGCGTCTCTCGCGTGCTGTCTGTGCGCATTCCTAAACTCTGCGGGCAGGCATGGGGTGTTTGGGCAACAGCAAGACGACAGAAGACCAGGGCGTCGATGAAAAAGAACGCCGCGAAGCCAACAAAAAGATCGAGAAACAGCTGCAGAAAGAGCGCCTGGCTTACAAAGCGACCCATCGGCTTCTGTTACTGGGTAAGGGTGGGGATCGCGCTGCGGCTCCAGCTCGAGGAGCGCACACTCCCCTGGCAGAGCTGTTGGCCCGAGCCCGGTCAGAAAGCCTGGGCCTGGCTCTGGCAGGCGGGAAGTGACAAAAAAGGCGGCGGCTGCTCGGGTTTCTCAGTGGAGGGGGGAGACACAGATCCGCAGCATTTTATCTGTTTGCTTGTAGGGGCCGGTGAGTCCGGAAAAAGCACCATTGTCAAGCAGATGAGGATCCTGCACGTGAACGGCTTCAATCCAGAGTAAGAAATATCCTTATCAACTTTGCCCTTAAGCCTTGCACTTGATAACAGAGTGCGGTAGGGACTAAACAGGCAGTTGAATTTAGTATAGCCACACAAATCCTTCTTTTCCAAAACGAGTCACAAAGTACAGTTCGTTCCGTATCTGTGGTTTGGCTCTAAGCATGCAAACAGTACAGTCCCCACCCCACCCCGTGCCTGTGGGTGCTCCCTGCCAGGACATCTCTGCTACCCAGACCTCAGAGGGTGACATTCCTCATGTAACTATTTGCATGGAGCCCACACACATCCAGCGGGGAACTTAAAGCCTTTGACAACATACAGTACCTAGAGCTGGGACAGCATTATGCTACTAGGGTTTATGGTCTACACAGTGAAGACCGTGGGTGGGGGAGCAATCATGCATATTCGGGGAAGATCCAAAGTTTTCTCCAAATGTATTTGATCGTCACATTCCCATCATAGGGATTGGTTAACAACAAACAGGTGCATTCAAGTAAAACGTATCGTATCGTAGCTGCAACTCTATCGCTATGCAATGCCATAGTGGTGTAGCCACTTTGACGGGGTAACTTGCATGGATTTTTTTTAAGTCACCTATTGTAAGTGACTGTTATAAAACAAACAGGTTTTTTTTTGGGGGGGGGGCGGGCTGCAGTTTAGAAACAGGTAATATTCTCTCTTCCCAGATGAAAACTACTCAGACCTTGTCCTGGGGTGGTGGTGGTGGCCTGGGAACCAGCTTCGCTGTGCAGCTAGAGGCTTGGATTCCCACTCAGCCGATTCGAATCAGCGCTAAGGGAAAAATGGTATTAATAATAGTTTTCTTTCCACACAGGGAAAAAAAGCAGAAAATTCTGGACATTCGGAAAAATGTTAAGGATGCTATTGTGGTAAGGGCTTTTTTGTTTGTTTGTTTGTTTTGTGGTTGCAGTCTAAAGCACTGTAGACAGAAATTCACGCCTCTTCCCTTATACCTTCTCCGTAATGCCCAAATCTCTGTTTAATCCATGTCGCTTCTCTGTATTTCATTTTAGACCATAGTGTCGGCAATGAGTACCATAATACCTCCAGTTCCGCTGGCCAACCCTGAAAACCAGTTTCGCTCAGACTACATCAAGAGCATCGCCCCCATCACTGATTTTGAATATTCCCAGGTAAGTCAGTCCCCTGCTGAGATGTTTGAAAGCCTCAGAGGTGGAACTGCTTTTCATGACTCGCTCAGGAAGACTCCGAGATGCATTCTGTATGAATTTCCTCAGGTCTCAACCTCTGCCCGCTGGAGATCTGCATGATTTCCTCTGTGTTGGTTTCAGTACTGAAGACGGCAGGATTGTAGGAAATACTTGGAGTGTGTGGGTGAGGCTCATGGGAGACCATGTGCCCTTATGAAATGCTGCGAGTGGTACCCAGGGCGGTGAGAGGACCTGGGCCTGAGGGCGGCTTTCCGCTCAGGTGAACAGTGGCGTTGCTCGCTTCCCTTGTTGCTTTCTCATTGCTGACGGTCTCCTACTTCTTACAGACACGTTAGGATTTGCTAATGGGATGAAGGAAAAGTACCTGTTCCGTTTCTCAGGATGCCGTGTGTGCGCGTGTGTTTCCACACGTATGCATAAGCCTGTCAGTAACAGCCCTTCAAAGTTGGCAGTGCCTGACAGAGTGGTTCTGTCTCAGATTCCTTGTCTCGGAAGCTCCTGCAGAAACCAGAGTATCCGAGAATGCCCGTGCCGCCGTGACTGAGGGTCCCTGTGCACCTGCTCACACCTGCCACTTCTCTTTGACAGCACATTGTCTGTTACCCGTGTGGGCTGTGGGTTGCAACTTTAAAAAAAAAAAAAGGCTTTTAGTTGTGTCATTCAATGTGATTTTTGCTTCTGAGAGGCATTTCAGCATAGCCAGTGCCATCTCTAGATTTTCTGAAAAGGATTTGTGGGTGTGGGTGGCATGCTAGCTGGAAGACGGGGCTCGGCGGCGCTTGGCCTGGTGAACACCCAGGGTTTTACTGAGCTGTGTCTCAAGATGGGTGAGGAGATGTATGGCAGGCCAGGGTGTCTGGGTTCCCCTCTGTCCCAGCTGGGTGATGGCCCTCTGGCTTGCTGTGGTATTCTGTACACAATGACACAGTCCTGGCTGGCATCAGCAAGAGCGTCCCGTTCAGCTTCAGATGGAACCGTTTATAGACAAGTATTTGGATTCTCAAAATTTGTCCCATCACATGTGCTTAGAAGCAATCACAAACTCTGTTATGTTTAGGGAAGCCGTTAGCAAGTGGTGAGAAACAGACTAAGGTTTGTTAACTGGGCGCTTGTGGTCTCTCTTCTGTAGTGGGCCGGTTCCTGGATGGCAAGGGCCCTTGTGGTCAATCAGCAGATCTGAAGCAGTCAGTAACTCTCACGTGTGTTATTAGCAAAGGATTCCACAGTTTGTTGTCTGCACAAGCAGTTTTTGAATTGAATCCTGAATGCTTTGAATAATAAAGAAAACCTGAGAAGCCGTGTCCCTCGCACACCTGTATTTCGTATAGCCATGATTAAGTTCCCTTCGGAACTGATGTTCAGAAAACCTTCGTTATCCATAGATAAAAGAAGTTGGAACCCACAGATGTAAATTCAATTGTAATCCTCTTCCCGAGGCGGTATTCAGCTGGCAGGGTTGGCTAAGTGGCGGGGCAGGGGGAAATATGCTATAGGTGTTTCTTAAAGCCTAGTTTTTAAATTTCCTCACTTGTCTGTGTTCCTGTGAAATGAGAATGTGCTTTATTTACGTAAACATGGCTGTTAATATTAGTTGACAGCATTCCTCGATACAATGCTGCTTTTACTCTGATGTACTCTTTGTTTTTCAGTTTTTCAGTGCCCTATCCATACTGCTTAGCTGTTGTTTTGTTTTAAAGATTTATTTGAAAGGCATAGTTAGAAAGAGGGGGAGACAGAGAGATCTTCCATCCTCTAATTCACTCCCCAAATGAGGCTGGGCCAGGCTGAAGCCAGGAACCAGGAGCTCCCTCCAGGCCTCCCGTGTGGGTGGCAGGGGCCTAAGCGTTTGTACCACCTTTTGTTGCTTTCCCAAGCACATCAGCCAGGAACTGGATTGGAAAGCATACAGCCGGTATTCAGACCTGTGCTGCTGTGGGATGCTGTCCCAGACCCCTGTGCTGCTGTGGGATGCTGTCCCAGACCCCTGTGCTGCAGGTCCGGGGGTTCTTCTGTTCAGCCTCTCCCTGTGCTCCAAGCAGCCATTGGACATCCTTGCTTGGAAGTCTAAACTGCAGGCTCCCACTGACCAGGAGACGATCACATCACACACAGTCACGTGTCACTCAGCAACAGCCCTGCTCTGTGTTCCAGAGTGGGCACTCGTGGACCCAGATGGTGCAGCTGACCACACGCTGAGGCTGTGTGGCCTGCTGCTCCTCGGGTACCAGCCTGGGCAGCGTGTGGCTGCCCTGGACCATGTAGGCTACTGTGGTGCAGCAGTAGGTCACTGCATATCTACTCACAAGAAAAGACACAAAAAAACCACTAGAGACAGGGATTCTTCAGCTCCCAGCGTGATCGATGGCTTACCCATTGGATGGGGAACATAACACCATTGCAGAGAACCCTAAGAGGGCTTCAGGTCCTCAGCCTTTTCCAACATCCAGGAAAATGGTGTTCCCCCATGTTGTTGCTGCTGTTTTCATCAGTCAGTATGTAATTCACTGTGACGATCAGGTCAGAGTGGGGTAGGTCTGGTGAAAGCCCGGGCCACACCCCTGCTGGGACTCCAGCACTGTGGAAACAGGACAGAGTGACTGCAAAGGGCACTTCAGACAATAGGCTAGGGTGCTGGAAAGGCAGCACAACAGCTTATGCTGCACTGCACCACTCCTGCCTCCAGCTGCTTGCTGTTCCTGGAAGGCAGGGGAGGTGGCTCAGAGAGTTGCTTTGGGTTGAGTGTCCAGCGCCTGACGTTGGCCATACTGCTGCGGGCATTTGGAGAATGGTGGAGGGGAACCCTCCATCTACCTCTCTGCCTCTCAAACAAGTAAGAAAAAAAAAGTTTTCAAAGGAAGAAGTTAGTGGGTAAACGCAATTAAAAGGCAAATATGTCTAGGTGCAAAAAAGTGATGAAATCCATGCACGGTTTTTGGTTTTTTTTCCTAAGATTTTATGCATTTGTTTAAGAGGTAGCGTGACAATGAGACAGAGAGATTTTCCATCAGCTGATTCACTTCTTAAATGGCCACAGTGGCCAGGGCTGGGTCAAACCTAACCAAGAGCCTGGAACTCAACCCAGGTCTCCCACGTGGGTGCAGGAATTCAAGCACTTGAGCAATTTTCCACTGCCTTCCCAGCCACATTAGCAGGAGCTGGATTATAAACAGGGTAGCCAGGACTTAAAATGTTTCTGTCATATGACATGCCAGCCCCCATACATGGTTTCTCATACTACGTGTCTACCAGGTCTCCTGGCCTGGAAGCTGCCTCTGTATCTCCTGGGGGCCTGAGGCAGGGGCTGTGAGGAGCATCTCCTGGGGTAGGGAATCAACAGGGAACTCAGGAGACATCCCAGGATCTCTGAGTCTATGGACCAGATGGTGAGCAGGTGCTAAAGGGAGATGCTGAAGCCAGCCCATCTGGGTAACCTTGAGCCAGTTGTTTCACTCCTGACTGTTCAGTAGAGATCACCACAGCATCACTTCCTGCAGTTGTTGCAAAGAATACATGGTGTGTGTACACTTAGAACCAGTACAGTATTCCTTCTCTGCATGGGTCAGTGGGAACCTGGTAGTCACCTGTGTCTGCTATCCATCCGGGTCACATAGCCTGGAATCTCACATGTCTCAGCTGGCTTAGCCCTGAGACCCCCGAGAACATGGGTACCCAACTCCTTGTTCACTCTGGATCCCCTGGGAAACCAGTTGAACCCCGCAACTCTTCCCATTGGCACTCAAATCCAAACTGTTTTTTTAAAAAGATTTTTTTTTTAAATTTTTATATTTGTTTGAAACACAAAGTCAGAGAGAGAAAGATTGCTCTTCCATCCACTGATTCACTACTCAAATGACCATGAGGGCCAGAATGATGGACTAGCTCATGCCAGAGCCAGGAGTCAGGAGCCAGGCACCTCTCCCCCATCTCTCATGTGGGTTGCCAGACACCCAGGTACCTAAGCCATCTTTTATTGCTTTCCCAGGCCATTAGCAGTGAACTGATTGGATGCAGAGCAGTTGGGACACAAACTGGTTCCCACTCGGATGCTGGTGTCACACGTGGGAATGTAACCCACTGCACCACAATGTCAGCCCTTCATCAGGAGTTATAAGCCATCTCTTCCATTCTAAGCCAAGGGCTGTCATCCCCAATGCTTCACAGCATCCCTGGAGACGGACACTCCCAGGAATCTCCCAAGGTCATTGGCGCTTACCTGCTTAGGAGTCCTGCCTGCTTCCTCCTGGCCTATTTGTCTGGGTACCTGAGAAACAGATCTAGACCACCTTCCCCGCCAGGCTCTGTCTCCAGGACTCCCCACCTCCCACCCACGCCTGGACCTTCCCCTTCTTTCCCTTCTCTTTCGATCCAATTTTCTTCAACTGACTTTGGGCTTCCTGGTGTCCCTTCCTTCCTCCTCCTCCCACTTCCGATTCTGTGACTTGCTGAACCACAGATTCCTTAAAGCTTCCAGGGCTCAGCCTGGATTTTCCAATAGTCCTCTGCTTCACTTCTTGCCGGACTCCCTGGGGGCAACAGTTGCTACCCAGTCCTCTCCCCCAAGTACCTGCACACTCCTGGCTAATTCTGCCAACCCAGCCCTCAGTGGCACACCTGTACGGTGAAGACAGGGGTGGAGCATCTTGAATCCCCCCATCCACAGGGTGGGCAGGTTTATAGCAAAATAAACACTTCACATTTCCAGTATTAAGTGGTGTTTTTAAGCAGACTTCTCAGTATTTGGAATTTTTGTGAACAAAATATGTTTTAACTATCCTAGGCTGTGTCCTCTGTTGTTTTGAAAGGTTCCACCTTCGATGGCAATAATGTGTTTTCTCCCATTCACATGTCTGGCTTTCCCTCTTCCCTTTTCCTTCTTATTCACCCACATACCTAAACCTTGCATGTGCACACTCATACCGGCAGGGGCTGCATCATCCCCAAAACAGTGTAAGTTGTGAATG